AGAAAGAGTCTCGGCTCTGGCGATGAAGCCAGTCAACCAGCGCTCGGCGCAATTGCGCTCAAAGACGTCGACCTTGAGAGCGGCTACGTGGTGGTCTAGGCCGTCAATCTCCTCATGATCATCGTCTGTCTCCGACACGTAGCCAGAGTCGGCGAGAGATGAATCGTGATGAGCAAACTTTTGTGTCTCGGGGCTAAGCTGAAAGGCGACGGACACGGCCAAGGGGCAGTAGATGACAGACAGGTTCTGTAGGGCGGCGGCGATATCGGCTTCGGTGAGCTGGTCCAAAGTGCGCAAAGGCGGAAGACTGCTTGAGGGCGGCAGCGGATGCGCAGCGGGGCTCATGGGTCGCGACTCGCCTCACTACGCGGAGGCTGCAAGCGAAAATTGTGCTACTCGACGATACTTCATGGACGGAGAGAAGCATCAAATCGCGAGTGAGTTTGTATCCCTCATGGTTTGAGATGAAGCAACCTAGGGTAGGTCTTAGCTTAATGAAAAAGGATAACGACCGCAGGGTTCCGAGTCCCCTATCTTAGCGTGTCTGACACGAGCATGGCAGACCCGCTTTTGTCTAAATGAGGGCATCGTGAAAAATTGTTTTAGTAGCCCTATCCTTGGACTGTTGGACCTTGCCACCTTGGGAGTCGGGACCTGCGCAGCTGGAGCAGAACTTAGCGGTAGCCTCAGGTTAGACGGGTAGGTAGGTGGGTCGGGGCCCTCTGTTCCGGCGATTCCCGTCAAGGAACAATCTCCCGGCTACCTCCATAAGGTAATCAAAGAGAATCCAAATCGTACCCCAGATCAGCCCGCCCCATATGTGCTAAGAAATGCCGGAAATCACTCCTATGATAAGAGTGCTGGCAAATACCGCAGTGAAGGAGTTTGGTGTTTTCGATGCCGCCCGTCCAGACCTGCCAACCACCGGCCCATTGGTGTTTTCGATGCCGCCCGTCCAGACCTGCCAACCACCGGCCCATTGCCCTGGGGGAGAAAACCATGAAAGGCGGCAATTTCCATTTCCTCCAAACAAGTCTCTTCGCACGTGATGAGTCAGGACCCAGACCCACCTGTCTCCAGTACTCCGTACCTTGGTATGTATTTGCACACCCCAGACGGGAGGCTCAGTCCAAGTCCACGCATCCACCAACTAATAGCACCTCATTATCCAATTTGAGACTGGTTGGCTGGATGCTCATCTTGACCCAACTTGACGACGTTTTCATGGGGCCTGGCTGGGGCCGGAAGGGACCGAGCCTAGCTGCCGAGGCACGGAGTACGTAGACAGCGCCCGGTCACAGCTCCGTCCAAACCGTCAGCTTTTCTATCATGAAGACCGTCCAGTGACCTAGCCTACCACTGCCATTTTCTCCAAGCTTCACAGTGCTAGACCCCGATAGATCGAGTCCATAGTCTCTCTACTTCGGATACCAACCTTGACGCAAAGCTCAAGTCTAGAGTTTCTGGGCCACTCCTATTGACATGCAGAAAGGGGTTCCTAAACAGGGTCTTGATGTTGCAGGGCTGCTCACACCCTTTCTCCCGCGTCCGGCAATCCATCATACCTCACCCTACAAAAGTAATTATCTTGCAAGGATACAATGGATACCCGACTATCCTACGTTCAATACATCTTTCCCCAACTAGCTGATTACCAGCATAGTAATGCCGGTTTCTGATGTGGCACACCCTGGATCCAATTACGGTAATTGAAGCACGTTGAGCGCGCGTCCCTTTTGGACGCGCTCATGGCGCGATATCGTCAATGACCGTCCTACAGTGAGACTTCACCTCCATCCTGATTTCTATTTCTTTAAAATCATCGTTAATCGCCATCCGTACCTTACTTGTTCTTATTCTTCAAACCTTAGTTCATCCATTTCTTACCTTCTTATTCCGACATCTTTACCATGGGACGCGGAAGGCGTGCGTCGCCTCCGAAACTCCCACCACGGTCTCTTTCGCTTACTCCAGATTCCAATGTCCCCTCAACTTCCAAAGCTTCAAACCCGCATAAGACCATCAAAAGATGTTCCGACACCATGTTCGAGCTTTGGTGTTGCTCTAGGAAGAGGGCTTTCAGGGCGTGGCTTCTATTGGTTCTTGGGAATTCCTCCTCGAGTGGAAGTTCTTACGGACCCGCAAAGAGGACGCTTAATGGATGCATACTCTGCCAGAAGAGACCTACCAAAGCTGTATATGCCCTTCGTTCGACTTACCATCTATAAGTGTGTGAATACTAACATAAGTACGACGCCAAAAAGGGGTACGTTGAAACGAGACCGGTCTTTCCAGGGGTGAGGAAGAAGGAAGCAAAGAGGCAATATGGCCATCGATTGGCCATTGTTGCTTTCCATCGAAGGGCTACCAGAGACCGTCTATTGCAGGGGTTGGACGTAAGCCACCTATGTGGACAAACTAACTGTATCAACCCTGGGCATTTGGTTGTCGAGTCGAACGCTGACAATCATGCGAGGAAACGGTGCCGCGCTGCTGTAAGTATTCACTAATCTTATTTTGTCTTGATTTGCACTCGAAAGTTGATCAGAAGTCAGCTTACATTCACTATTATCGGAGACAAGGCACGCAGGAAAAGCTGGAAAGGCTGGAAAGGCTGGGAAGGCTGGCAAACCCGGGAAGGGAGAAAAGGCTGGAGGGGCTGGAAAGGCTGGGAAAGGAAAGGGAAGGAGGCTTCCGATGTCAAGCCCAAGTTTCAAGCAGTCCCGACTTTCGCCTGTACCCATGAACCAAGATGTGTGAAGTTCGTGGAGGAAGAATACATGTATTAGTTGCTGGAGTCTGGCGGTCACCGCTTTCACTTTTTGCAGATGCAAGTTGCATCTTCCTTTGTACAATGATATAGGGTAGTGGTTTCATCAGCGTAGAGATAGCTCAATTTGGGAAAGACCTAGAAAGTGTATGGAGATCAAGCCTCCTGATTTCGAGAACGCAAACATTACTGAGACTTGATAATCAGCAATGGCTGGAAGTCGGCACCGCACATACTGTTTGCAGGTAAGCGGCGTAGTGGCGTAGTGGCGTAGCTACTAGAACGAGCCGTTAAGGCTTTAACATCCTTTCTTTGTTGTACCGAGTTTAGGAAGGCAGATAGCATCCTGGGACTACTTGAGTCAATCCCGAGACCGTTTGTGCATGGCAGTGAATCTAAGATTCAAGAATGAGGAGCTGGAAGCAGAATTGGACTTCGAATTGACCATTCTCACGTGGTATCATCACCATGCGTTTACAGGAGGGAATATTGCCTTTGGTTGGAGTTTGAACGTGCTTGAGACATTTATATAAGGCATAGGCCATGTCATCCTGCTGGTAGGTAGCATGGGCGTTGGCCTATCCAACGTATGCGACGAAAGACTTCACCTTCCCTCAATATTGAAGTTCATTTCAGCCCTTGACCACGTGGAGAGGAATCAAGATCAACTTAGAGTCTAGAGTCTTACTTGACAAAATCATGATACAAGACAAGAAATTGCAGAAAGATGCTCTTGTAAGCGAGTTTTAGGCTTCTATTCAAAAGTTCAAAATCAAGCCAGAAGAGCGTCTCAGACTTTGCCGTAAGATCGCAATAGGAGCATTGACGTGGATTGTAGAGAACGATTGTATATTGAAAAAAGGTGCAAACCGGTGTACATCGCGGTGATTATGTGGCCGGGTCACGCAATATGCTATGAGTCCATGGACGGTTGAAGCCATCGCGACAGACTTCGGATATCAATGCGAACTTTTGAGTTATTGCGTGACAGCACATCGGGGCAACAACACCCACCAGACCAGGAGTGTTGGCACAAGATGCCTGGTAGTAACAAGAATTGTCCTGAGCTATGTGATCTGCGGCAAGACCCATCAATACGATACCAGGAAGAACATGGAGGTAGGACATTCCGATGACGAAGTGGCGAGTCTCTATGGAGTCTGTTCCTGAACCCTGTGGATTATCGTGCCTAGATTACCAAAGCTACCGAGGGATCAAATGTGAGATGTGCGGTATCAGTTTGGATAGGAAGAAACCATGTGTTTGGAGCTTTGGCCATGGCTCCGTCCGATAGAAAGACTTTACATCTGAAGTGAATGTCGAGAGCCAAATGAGGGTGACTAAGCACGCTTAATGACAGTCACTAAGAAAGTCTTTTGGCATAAAAGAAGTGTACTGCAAACGAAAGACTCGGTCTAGTGGCAGACTGAAGTCAAAAAACGAGTGCTGAACGCGTTGCTGAGCACGTGCTCGCGAGGCAAAATGACGGGGCATCATATTTTGGGTTTAACAGACGAAGCTTCAGCTCAGATGACCACCAATTTGCTTTAATGAGGCGCGACATCAAACCAATTCCGTTTGGAATCCAGGCCGAGCGTCGACGAAAGATGCTAATACCACAAGCTTAGCCTACGTGTGTTTGGGAACGTGGATTCAGAGCAGGTGTGTCAGACGTAAGTTCAGAAACCCAACAGCCCCCAGAACCCAATACCAGAAGCCATCAAGTACCGTGAAAACATGCAAAAGCACCCGTTATTTTTCATCATTTTAGATATGCGTGCCGAGCCTGGCCGTGGACTGCGGAAGTGGTGCTGCACGTGTGTAAAAGATGTCGCGTCGTTGGGAAAGCAGCATGGGCTTTCAAGAGTCTCTACGAGCGTACCGTCAAGAATAAGTGATATGTCTGTAGGAAATCTAGCTTCTTCAAGCGATCATTTGTCCATCATTATTCGCACGACTGAACAAGGATACCGCGGCGTTTCGCAGCCCTGTGCATACTTCAGGCTATAGTTTACTTTCATGGTAAAGGTCCACGAAACAAGGAAGCCTGGTTGATACCCGATCGCCTTTGGACACAGGCGGTTTCTATGGTTCAGGGAAGGAAAGCAGGGCTGATAGATTTGTCGATGTCGTTCAGTATTTAAACCCCATTCTTCACTGAGGCTGCTCCCGAAGTGTTTGCATGCCTTACACAAGTGCCAGATCGAATTACACAATTGTTTCAATCATAATGGGCTCTATGAAATCATCTCTGGTGTGTCTAGGGGCACTTATCGTCCTAATCATCGCTACCCCTATAGACGAAACTTCAACCCCAGCTGTCTCTGCTCGCGCTGAGGCTACCGTCTTCATGTGTGACGACACCCGCTTCAGAGGCCGCTGCCGAACCGACGTCCTTCAGACAGGATCCTGCTGTGAGTTTTTCTCCCAGACTAAGCGCTTATCTCGAGGCTCGATCAGTCGCTATAAGCATTTTACTTATAGAAGAGCTGTGTACAGATGATGTCCCGGAGAGCTTCATTGACCGCATCAGCTCTATCCGTAATAATGATAGGAATAAAGACACTTGCACTTGGTATCGGTAAGTGTGAACCTTGAGAAAAGGAGTATTACTTAGAACCTTCTTGACTGAGAAAGGCATTTCTTATTTATAGGGAGCGGCAATGTCGAGGGGAGTCCTATCGTAACCAGGATGATGATAATTTAGCTGACGGTAATGGCCACTTCAACGATGCTATCCGAAGTTATGAGTGTAAGAGAAAGTAAATAGTATTAAATAGTATTAAAATTACGGAATACTTTTTAATATTTAAATAACTAATAAGACGTTCATTTAAAAAACAAGAGAAATATATTTATTGATAACTATTTTTTAACTTTTTATATACTTAACTTTATTTAATTATATTTAAAAAGAGAGCTCTTTATAATATTAAAATAAAGTAATATGAACTCTTCTAGTTTATAAATATAAAATATTATATTTAAAATAATTGAATTACTTATAAGTTTATATAATATAATATGCGTTTTATTATAAATTAATAGTCTAAATAAATTGCTTTTTAACACGGGGTCTTTTAATAATATATACTAACTTAATATCCCTTTAGGGTCGGCCCGCCTTATTAGGGGCTAACTTCGCCCTATAAGCAAGCTAGTCTATGAGGGTTAATATCGAGTTTTTATTATATACATTACTTAATAAACTTTATAACTAATAACAACCGGCCATAGTTATTAACGTTAATATAGTTCAAACCGTTATTAATAACATAATATATTAATCGCCTTCTAAATAACTAAAAACTCCCTCTTATTTTTTGCCCTATTTAATAACTTTAAAATATCTCTTTTCGTTTTTTTTAATTTACTCTTACGCTACGATTTTAGAATATAAATAATATTTTAAAGTCGGTTAGGTATTTTAAAGTTCTAATCGTAGTATATAAGTTACGTGCTAATAAGGGTAATACTTATATTAATATACTTATTTTAGATCTTTTAATTAATAGTATCTAATCCGTATTCCTTAAGATAACCTTATTATAATTCGGGGTTTTTTAGGATAATACTTATAAGATCGAACTTCTAGTTGTTAAAGAAGCCCTAGGGATTGATAATCTCTAGGTATCTTAGTATTTTGATAATATATATTTAAAATAAACGATTCGATAATAATAGTAATAAATAGTAAAGAAAGCGTTTTTTAATTTTAATAAAAGAAACGAGGTAACGAATATATAATACATAAAAGTTAATATATATGAGATATTAGTACTTATAGAGGTCGGTATTATTATTAATAATAGCGACGAAGGTATTTCTAATATTACTGTTATAAACTATTATTACTTAGAGGGGCTGCGAACTTACCTAAGTACGTAAATAAGCTTATAAAATAGTAGCGTCCCGCGCCTAATATCGCTATTAATCCGTAATTATAAACTTTATAAGAGGTAAAGTTTAAAAAAGAAATAAAAGAAAATCATAAAAAATAATCTAACGAGATAGTATAAGTATTTATTAATACTATATATTAATACTGTATAACTAATATTGAGAACCGCCTGAGCAACTAGTAAAAGTAGAAGTATAAAATAAATACTAATTTAATATAATATATTTAGAATCGAGTTTTAAATTATTAAAATAGTTTTAAAAGCCATTAATTACTAAGATTTAGATATTTTAATAAAGCATTTTTTAAAAATATAATAATAATAATAAGGGCACCTTGCCTATCCCGACCTATATAACGGTTTTTATATTAGATTTATTATATTATATTAAGCGCGTACTTAGAGTATATTATACGTACTATATTATATATTTCTTTTTAAGTCTAATCTTATTAAAATCGAATTTTCATACTTAAAAAGCTAAAAAAAGAAAACTACTATTTAATAATAATAACGTAATTATATAATAGGCGGGCTATTATAACGAGCGGGCTATTATAGCGAACGGGCTAGTTTTTAGTACCCTTTTATTATTTATATAAATTACTTAAGCTATAAAATATATAATTAATCAAAACTACTTATTAATCTCTTTTTTAAAGGTTTTTTAACGTACTTAATATATTCATATATAATATCTAGTATTTTTATAATTTTTATAATATTGTTTATATAACTTACTCCCCTCTATATAAATATGTTCTTAACGTATACTTTTATTTTTAATATTAATAAAACTCTTTTTTATTCTAATTATATTAGCTTTAATAATATTAAATAAGTTTTTAAAATATAATTAAGCTTTTTTAATCTTATAATATTTATTTAATATTCTATCTATTATATAAAGCCTATAGTACTTAAATTCAATAAAGATTATTTTATATACTAATTTCTCAATACTTCTAGTTTAAAATATAATAATTTTATATAAATAAGTTAATAAGCTATATTAAAAATTATAAATCCGGTTTTTAATAAAAGAGAGCTTTATATAGTATTATATTATATAATTAGTATTTATAAGTCCCAGGAGCCTTAGTTATTTAGGTATAAATTACTTAGTATTAATATTTTTAACTTAGGATTAAGGCAAAAATTCATTATTTTAGGTTAAAAAAATAGCTTTAACTTATTTCAAGCTATTTTATATATTTTTATACTTATTAAAATAAAAAGACTATTTTTAAAATAAAAGAAAATGGTTTTAATAATATACGTAATCTATATATATATATATTATTTTTTTAACTTTTATATTATATAGAGTTTTTAACCCCCCGATAGAATCATTTACCAGGGCCGTATTATATATTATATATTAGGGAAAACTAAGTATATTACGCTCTATACCTAATTATTAACTAAAACTCCTAACCTTTTACCGCCCGTTTAGAGAGCGAGCTATACCCACTTTAATATATATAATACCTCTTAATACTAGTTTATATAAGTAGCTAAATCCTATATTATATACTCTTTCTTATTAAAAGTTAAGGGACCCTTTATATAGTCCCTTATATCTATAATATAGCCCGTATTAGAGGGATTTTTAGCTCTATAAAATATAATTTCTAAACCGGCATTAATATACTAAATCTTAGTATCTATACCGGCCCGATTATTTATAGCGTTCGTACTATTACTTAGCTAGATTTTATACTATTAAAAAGTACTATACTACTCCTTAAGTATATTTATATTAATTATAATAGCTAAGGCATTAAGGGGGCCTAAGAATTTATTAAGCCCTAGAGGGGGGGACCTATTAAGGGATATTTTTAAAAAGTCTTAGCCCGCTAGTTATTAACTATATACTAAGAGAATAAGTTCTTATTAAAGTAATATTTTAATTAGTAAACCTCTTAATTAATTATCTAACTAGTTATCTAAATAGTATTTTATATATTAATAAATTTATTTAATAGATTTATTTAATAAATTTATTTAGTAAGTTCGTTTAATAAGTTTATTTAATAAGTTTATTTAATAAATTTATTTAGTTTAAATAGAGAGTAGTTTTAAATAATATTAAAAATAATAAAAATAAAAAATTTATAAACTCTAATATAAAGAGTAATAAATATTAACCTTTTAACCCTTTCTCTAAAAACCTCTACGTTATTATTAAAGTTTAGAACTTTTATAATTAAGGGCTACTTCTAACTTTTATAGCTAACCTCTACTATTAACCTTTTAGCTAGCGCTACTATATAAAAAGTAGCTTACTTATTTTAAATTAAATAGTAGTTTTTATATCGAAATTACTATATTATATTAAGCGCATACTTAGGTATATTATACATATTATATAATTAAAAAGTATACTGTATTATATAATTTCTTTTAAAAACATAATCCCGTTAAAGTTAATTTTTTGCGCCTATAAAGCTAAAAAAAACCATTATATATAGAGCTTTTAATAAATTAAAAAGCTAATATTAAGAAGCTAAAGTTTATATAATAAATAAAAAAGTTTTTTAACTTCCTACCCCTCGTTCCCTAAAGCCCCGTTTACTACGCTAGGTATAGTTAAGGGGCCCCGAGAGGAAAGACTAGCCCCGCTACTTTAATTATTTAATATGTATAGCGGGGTTTTTTTTAATACTTAATAAAGAACTAGCTAATAATTATTTATTTATAAAACTTATCCTTAGGGATTAAGGTGTTATAGTATTTTAATTTTATAAAAAAATATAAGTCTAGTAGTTTATTAGAGTAGCTATTATATTTATGAATAATTATAACTATAAATTATTATTAATTAAAATATCAATACTTATAAAACTAGTTAAGTAGTTATAATATTATAATTTATAAAATATAGGATATTTAATTATTATACTACTTTTTATAACGCACTGATTACTATTATTATATACTAAAATAAAGTAATTATATTATATTATTTATAAACTATACTTACTTTTTATAAACTTTATAACGCTTTTAAAGGTTAATTTTATTATACTACGTTTTTTTTTAAAAAAATATTTTTTAAAAAAAAGATTTATATAAAAAAATAAAAAAATTAACTTATACCTATATACGCTAAATATAAGTCTATATATATTTTTATAGTATACTTAGCGCTCGCTTATTATATTATTATTATTATTAAATTATTACGACTTAATTAGGGCTACCTAGCTAACTATAAACTTATTTTAAAATACTTAACGCTACCTTTTTTAGGGTACTTAATATAGTACTTTTTAATATTAACTACGTATACCTACGCGTACCTAGGCAATTTTTATACTATATAAAGTACTTTTTAAAATACTTAAGCCGGCCCTAGGGCCCTCGTAGCGCTTGCTCTAGGGTACTTAGGGCGGTTCTTAGACATTGACAGTGTCTATTCCAAAGCACTAGTGGCCCTGTTCTATATATTTGATACAATACTCTTGAAAAAACCCCTCTATAAAGCTTTTTATATTAAAAATAACAAACTCCTCATCCTATTCTTATTAAATATAAACTTAAAAAACCTCGTTCGTATTACTATAATTCTTTTATCACTACATTATATCTCTCTTTTTAATAATATTTATATACTTATTATAAAAAGTTCCAAAGTTTAGTTTTAAATTCGTTTTATAAAAGCTCTAAGTACTTCGTTTGTATACTTTATTGTTGACTTACGTATTGAGTTCGTTCCCTTTTTCTTTTCCTTTTATATTTTTGTGTTAAAAACTTCTGTCAAGATATTATATTGTAATATATATAAGATAAAACTCCCCTATCTAATATAAAACGCTCTATCCAGCTTTTTATTATTTTATTTCGTTCTTTGTACCCTAG